CTACCACTGCCTCAATTTGTAGTTCGTCTGTGTTATTGTGTGACTATGGTGACTTCAAACTAACCCTTTTAAACACCAAAGTCCCACAATAAAACAAATAAATTAAATGATTGAGGCAGTGGTAGACCAGCAGCTCCTGTGTTTAGCAATGTTAAATTATTAGTTTTGCCAGTAGAGCCTGGCTTAAAAGAAAGCGATATAATGGCTTCAGTTTCTCATCAGAAATCGCTGCAAAGTAAAGCAGTGAAAATATTCTAAATATAGCGTACACTTAAACTGATTATATAGATGTTTTTGGTGGCTTAAATAGGTTTTGCTGCTGACCCCTCCACAGGAGTACATCATTTAGCTTCCATGACGATACTCCTGCCTGCTTCTCCAAACTGGGAGCATGCTGCCTGATGCTAATACACTATGGATGAGTAACCCATATAAGCCTACTTCAAACAATCCAAACTACCCCTTTAATTAACACAGTTGCACACACTCAGAACATTAGAACACGAAGGGAAAATAAGCACACACACATATTTGCAGGTGCATACACACATGCACTTGTGTGGGATAATGCACTAACCTTAAACCACACATCTCTCTGTCAAATCCTGACATCCACTCAGGACAGTAAGCCAGGGCTGAGGGTGCTGTCTTCTTTGACCAATCAGAGAGGCTGAGCCTGTCTCTTTCTCCTCTCTGACGTCAGGCAGATGAAAGCACAGAAGGAGGGTGAGACTGAGAGACAGTGGAAGACAGCGAGAGCTTAAAGAGGAGTCATATCAGAAGAGTCAAATAGGGTCAGCTGAGTGGGAGAAGAAGAGAAGGATGGAGAGTGACGTTGGCAGTAAGAAGGGAGAAAGAAAATGCTGACAGATCATTAAAAAGGAGGAAAAAAGGGAAAAGGTGAACTCAGAGGAGGGGAAGAAGAGAATGAAGAGCATGCATCTTAAAGCCAGCTGTGAAGGGCAAACAAGAGAAGAAAAGAGATATAGTGACAGATTCACTAAAGAGGTCCATTTTGGCGCTGACACAGTGTGCAGGAGGTGGGAAGGTTGTGGATTTGACACAAGTTTGCACAGTTGGCTGATGTCACCTGTCTCTTTCCTTTCACCCCATTCTCCTCCTCCTCTGATTGTCGTTGGGTGCAGTCTAGCAACAACCTCTGTCCTCCTCCCTGGCTGTCTGTCTCCGTCAGGAATGCCGATGGGTGGGGAAACACATTGTGATGACGAGATAGTGAACATCAGGGTGCGAAAAGGTCTTTCCAAAGCTTAGGATGCTCATGAAATATTGATTGGTTTAAAGAGGCAACATTGTCAGCATCAATTTAAGCTTCCTGTGTGACTCAAACAATACAGAATGGGGTTACTTTTTATAGCTGGATCAGATTCAGAGTGACTTAAAAAACTTCAGAGAGCTAAAAAGGCAATGAACCCTCCACTTGGTTATTTTGGATTTGTTTATAAAACATTTTTAAATAGGCACTTATAAATAGACGGTTGAGCTTTGACAAGCCAGACAGAGCAATGATGTAAAAATAGATATAACAGGGGGTTTGGATATTGAATGACACACTTATTTGCTTTTGATTTCCTACAAATTTAAATAGAAAACGAGATGCAAATGACCTTCGATTCAGCAAAAGTGGCTGTGTGAGTACAGCGAGATAATGCAATCAATTCTACATGTATGTACAGTTGTTTCAGAAAGGACACACACACACGCAGAAACACACACACGTTCCCGGGCATGGATAGTGGATGAGTCATGTCTGCCAGCCCTTACTGTTACTGTGATGGCTCCAGATTTAAGGGCCAGCAATCTGCATTCATCTCACAGACCTACACTCTCTTGCTCTCTCTCCGCTGTCTCTCTACTCTGTCTCACTCTTGCCCTCACACTACTCCTGTCTCCATTACATACACACACACACACATGGATACACAAACAAACACGCAGGTAGGGAAAGTGTTGGGAGTGGTGTGAAACTGACAACTCTCTGCTGTGCCAGCCACACACACCGTATGTTGTTGATTGGCCACCTCTCAGGAGCTGACATAAGTCAGGCGTTCAGCTCGAACCAATCAAATTGCTGATCTGGAAACGGCATTATGAAACTCCTGGCAAGGTCCCTATATCCATATGTCTACCAACAGGCAGGCGGGGGGGGGGGGGGGGGGGGGGGGGGGGGGGGGGGGGGGGGCAGCCACACACATGCACAAACACACACACAGTCGGGGTCAAAGACAGAGCATGAAATTGAGCAACTAACTACAGTTAAAGGCAGACTAGACAATCCCAGCCGAAGTAGGACATCTTTCGCGAGGCATGATCACAGCATCCTGCAGTGACATAATATGTGAGAGCAATGAGTGATGAATGATGAGCATTCAAGCATCCTTAGCAATGACACAACAGATGTTTGCCACAACACCATCCGCTGTTCCAAATTCAGTTGATGTTCCTACCAAAAATCCAGGCCCTGCATGGTGGATTATTCAGTCACCGTTGCGATCAGAGGTGAATCAGAGAAGGAGGACTTCAAAAACATCACGCAAATCAAATCTCCTAGTGTGAGCTGCACCTGCTGACATTTGGTGATAAATCTGCAAATTACGTTAGTGACGGGACATGTTCCCTCCACTGGGAACATTTTTTTTAGGTTAAATAGCTCTCTTAAAGGTCCAGTGTGGAAGATTTGGTGATGCTTCAAAACTGTTGGGGATGGCGTTGGAATGGTTAGCATTGTTGCCTCACAGCAAGAGGGTTTCTGGTTCGAACCCAGGGTGGGGGAGCCCTTCTATGTGGAGTTTGCATATTCTCCCTGTGTCAGCATGGGTTTTCTCTGGGTACTCCAGCTTCCTCCCACAGTCCAAAGACATGCAGTTTAAGTTAATTGGTGACTCTAAATTTCTCGTAGGTGTGAATGTGAGTGTGAATGGTTGTCTGTCTCTATGTGTCAGCCCTGTGATAGTCTGGTGGCCTGTCCAGGGTGTACCCTGCCTCTCGCTCAATGCCAGCTGGGATAGGCTCCAGCCCCGCCGCGACATGATAAGCGGTTATGGAAAATGAATGAAATGAATGAATGAGCTCTCTTAAAGGTCTAGTGTAAGATTTAGGGCATCTAGCAGATGGCTAAAACTGGCTAAAACTTCTCTTGGTTAGAATTCTTTGGTGTTCATTGTGCACATGATTTAACTGGGAGCCAATTTACCCGCAAAGGTCTCCTACAAAACAAACTGACCACGGGCCTCATTTATAAAGCAGTACGTAGGATCCATACATCCATAAAAATGTACAGAAGGCCAAAGCAAAAATGGCTTGCGCTAAAAAATATGCATCAATTTCAGGCTTCCACCTTATCATCTGTTTGTAAGCAAGTTTCTCCCACCAAGTCTGTCTTCATAGATCGGTGAGAAGTGGCTTACGCATCTTTCAGGCCTCATTTTGTGAGTATGCAATGTTTATAAATGAGATCTTGCTATTTTAAACAGTAAAAACACTGAATAAAGAAGTTTAATATTACGAAACAGTGTTTCCTACACTGTTAGCCGAGCACCTGCTAATTTGTGCTCACCTTTTTTCTTTGATGACTTAACATCCAGACGTTCAGGGGATTTTTCAGGAGGAGCTTAATTATCCACAGAGGTCTCTTCCTGGTGATTTAAACCTGTAAAAACACTAGATGACGCAATTTTACATTAAAAAAATCTGTGTTTTTCCAACACTACTCATCGCAGACAAACCAAACACTAGCTGTCTGGAGCGTTTGGTTTGGTCTGTCTGTTCTGGGCTACTGTAGAAACATGGTGGTGCAACATGGCGATATCTGTAAATGAGGACCCCCTCACTGTGTAGATATAAACAGCTCATTCTAAGGTAACCAAAACACCCTAAATCATACACACTGGACTTTTATACACTCAATGGAAGGTGCAACAAGAGGGATAAATACCTCTTTATGTTGCGTTTGAGGGCAGTTTTACAAAGTAAACCTCTGCAACAGGCAGTTTAGTAAACTGCAGCTTCCACACAGACAACCCTGAGAGGTGAGCTGTCCATGGTGCTGAAACAAAGTGCTGCTCTCCCACAGGACAAAAAGACCACACAATATAAAACATTTTCATTTAATTCCCATCACTTTTCAGTATATTGTTGCATCATTTTTTGGCAGGGGGACACTGGCTGCACTAAAACTAATTGGACTGGTGTTGGATGAGCACTTCTCCCCCTCAACAACAAATTGTAGAAGAAGCCGCCTCCCGCCCTGCCTTAAGCACGAATTAATCAGGTAATCATCTCTTGTCTTATCCCCAATATACAGCCCATTAACATTAGGCAACGCTCTCTTTGGTGGTTCTCCAAGCCATGCACACTGACAATGATTAGTAGCTCTGAGGACGAGGATAAATACAGTAATTTACTTTCAGCACCCTGAGAGCAACTACCTGTCCCTCCTCCCTCTTTCTCCCTCTGTCACACACACAGGTGCATTATATATGGAGTCACACTGTAAGTCATGTGTTTGTTTTAAACCCACTGACCAAACACAACACAGGTGATAAGGTGGGACCCACTTGCAGGGAGCAGGTACATGATACTGAACCTACAAGTACAAAGTGTGCTTACTCAGCTGCTTGTTCAGCTGCTTGTTCAGAGTCAGTGTTGTTAAAGCCTTAATTTCCTTAATATTAATTCCACCTGCGTCTTCTCTGGGTAAGATGATGAAAAACACTGTGTAATGTGAGGATTTACAGCCTGCATTGTGTGTATGAAATGAGCCGGAATTTTAAATGACTGAAACAGTCAGAGTGATGTCTTAACTGCATTGTTGTTCTTGTGAATGGACTCGCGCCTATCCTGCACCAAAAGCAAGATGTCGCCAAAAGTGTGTGTTTGTGCTGCCAAGACAACATTTGGGGACTATTACTCATGAAGAGCAGAGAGGATAGCCTAAACACCCTTAACCACCTTTATGTGTGTCTGTGCTCTCTCTCCCTCTCCCTCCCTGCGTGTGTGTGTGCATGTGTCTCCGTGTGTGTTTGTGTGCATATAGGTAATAAGCTGCTCCGCCACTGCGCAACGATGGAGCTATCGCAACGATGGAGATGACGCAAACCGACCCAGCTCTCCGAAAAAGTGTTTCAAGACGAACATGGCGGCAACTTAACCGCGGTCCAAGATGACAATGGCCAACGGGAGAAAGGATTCTAGGCTTTCCGCCCAAGCACCGGACAGTGTGCGTGCATCGAAAGGGCTCGTTGCTCTCCTTTAAGTCAATCTGCAAAGCGAACGGCGGCAGACGCGCAGCATCAGCACCGAGAGGCTCGCAACAGCTGGTCTCCCTGCGCCCCCGACGAGAGAACAAACCCGGGGAGGGACGGTAGGGAGAGGGGGGCATGCGGTCAAAGAGGACGCCGTTTCCCCCCGGAGAGCCATGGAGAACCGGGATGCGGCAGCGCGAAGCTTAATCTGTGCGGGCGCGCTAATTGGATCGGAATAGCACCGATTGCTGCGGGCGCGATAGAGGAGCGCCCTGGACCGGCGGAGGCACGGCACCCCACCGTTACAGAGGAGAACCAACCGGAGTCCGTCTCCCCCCAAGTCAATGAGTATTGTGGCAGAGCAGCCCCCGCGGTGGAGTCGGCCAGGGCAGCACTTTCCTAAAATATGACCAGGGGTGCTTGGATGCGTCGGCAGCATGATGAGGGCTTAAAATACTGGTTTGCACCCCGAGAGAACGAGAAGCCATTTACCGAGTCGGAGCGGGCCCAGAGATGGCGACTGTCGCTGGCCTCTCTGCTGTTCATCACCGTCCTGCTCTCTGATCACTTGTGGTTCTGCGCCGAGGCGAAACTGACGCGAACCCGAGACAAGCGGTCGGACGAGGGGCTTGCATACACGGACATGGGCGAGCACCCAAACTCCCTCCACCGACACCATATCCCAACATCACCTGACCCCAACCGCCTCGCCAGAGAGGAAGATGTTATTTTTATAGGGAATTCTACCAAACCTCTGTGGCGAATGGACACCTGTCATCCAGACAGCCTGTCCAAAGACTGCTTTACTTTCACGGACGCGAAGACCGTGTGCCAGGGCCTCTCCGGTGGAGGGGAAAAGGGGACACAGTTGGCGTACGTGAATCTGAGCGATTTGTACCTTTCTTTTTGTAATTCCTACTCACTTTTGGATTTGTTTTACGGGTTTACGAGTCCGGACGTTGTGAATTGCACCCTGGATATGCCCATGGGGGCGGATGAATGCACCGAGTGTGTCCGGGCTTATCAGCTTCTTGACCAGCAGGCGGAGGAAATCTACCGGGAGTTTGAACTGCTGGTTCAGAAATATGAGACGGATGCATACTCGGTTAGGACGTGCATGGAGGAATGCAAGGTAGGACTAACGAGGCGCGCACGCACACACACGCGCGCACACACACAAGTGCTTTTAAGGGGGTGGGTTCACAGTCGTCATGGCAACCATTGGGCATATCTGTCAGTATATTGGTATTTATTCTTTATTTATTTTGTAGAGATCAGGCAACCAGTGCTTTTACTGCATCAGCTGGTCTGTCAGGGTTTGCACAAACACACAGCTGCACCACATGACAGTACCATGGGGGACCAGAGGACAGGCCAGCAGACTCCTGCAGTCCCTCATCACTCTCTTTCCCCCTTGTTTCTCTTCCTCTGCCTCTCTAAGTCTAATCTCGTGGACCACTTTGTGAACTGTGACTGTGGAAGTGACGTTTGACATTTGGAGCAAGGGCCAGGCTTGCACCGCAGCTCTGTGAAATGAGGGGAGAGAGGGCTGTTGAGTGGTGCTCATTTCAATATCGTTAATAGCACACGAGTGATTCCTGCACCTAATCCAGGCTTTGTATTGTCCCCAGTTTGCTTGTTGTCTTGATAACATGGCAGCCTCAGACAGCACATATCTCAGGTTGTGGAGTACATGTTGTGCATGTCAACAGCGTAGCATACCCAGGTCTATATACACACACACACACACACATACAGACAAACACACTTTTACTTCAGGCATCAGGGCCCTCTCAGCTGTGTTGAACAAAGACAACGCACCTGTAAATAGTAACATGGTGGAGATACATTGGATATTACACTTCAATCTGGATCATTTGTTGCGCGCTGGACTGTTGCAGAGGCTCTGTCTCCCCGACAGCTGTGCATCCTCCTGTGCTCACTGTCCATGCTGCTGAGAGAAGGCCCTGCAAGAGGCCTTTCAGGAAGACATGCTTGTTCCTGTGGCTGTGTACTTATGGAACAACATCAACTGATTTAATTAGTGTGGCAGTGAAGTACGGTTGTTTTTGTTCACCTTATTGGCACAGGGACCAGCCTCATCTCTTAAACAGAGTGGACCACACTACATGTCCTCCCACCTCTATCCATACCTGATTAGCTCAGTCAGGTGGGTTGATGTGTTCATGTTTGGATAGATGTAAATGTGCAGTTTGGGGGTCTTTCATTAACAAGATTGAGAACTGCTGGTATAATAAATATGGAATATGGTTCATGACATGAGGGATGTGGGAGTATGGCTTGACAAGGACAAAAGAGATTTACTGTATGTTAGTGTGGCTTGTACTGCCTCTGGTACTGTTCTGTATCTATTGTATAGCTTCATTTATTTCGCAGATGAACTTTTCACATTCTAAAACATTAACATGTTCTTATCAAGTTTCTTGTCCTGAACATTAAGGTTTTGAGGAATTATAATGACAGTTGTTATAAAATGCATCCAAAGCCAGGAGAGCTGCAGCATCACCACAAAAGCACTGTGTAGTAACAGGTCAGGAAATGAACTTCGGAAAGCAGGAAATCTTCCGTCAAAACTGCCCTCATAATGGTCCTGCAACCCAAACCCCATTTCTACAAGATGGATGTTGTACAAGGGCAGATGGTCAGGGTGCTGGGCTGTGAGTGCTGATAATCCGTGTGTGTGTGTGTGTGTGAGGAAGGCCAGTTAGTGGGAGGATACACCAAGGATAAACCTTCACATTGTAATCATGTGTTGTTTATATATTTGTTTCTTGTGAGTCATAGCTTATTGTTAGGCTCTGACTGTGTGCATGCATGTACATATGTGCATGAGGCTGTTTCCTACAACATCATATAGCTGCTTCCTTCTCATGCCATCTAATCACCAGTGTGCATTTGCACTCCTACTCTTTGCTAATGTAATCAGACTCAGGCAGGGCTACAGCAGCCTTTTAGCCCCTTTAGCCCAATCTGAATTGCTAATCTGCTCCAGTGTTCGTGTGACCTTTGTGAAAGCACAGCACCCCAGGCCTGCATCACAAACCACCGCTCCTTGAAGAAGCACTCCGCTGGACAATAAGAGACAGCTTGAAACAATATTATTACGATTCACTCGTATCTTTCTTATCTCTCTCATCTCGGACATTTTTACTTCATCTTCATTTTAAACAACTGCTTAAGGTTTCTTTCAAATAGTTTAAAGGGACAGTTCACCCCAAAACCAAAAATACGTATTTTTCCTCTTACCTGTAGTGGTATGTATCAGTCTAGATTGTTTTGGTGTGAGTTGCAGAGTGTTAGAGATATCTTCCATAGAGATGTCTGCCTTCTCTCCAATATAATGGAACTAGATAGCACTTGACTTGTTGTCCGTAAAGCAGCAGCAATGTCTCTTTCCAGAAATCATGACCCCGGTTCTCAAGATAATCCACACAGCTTGTTGTGAGCAGTTTTATGTAGGAACTATTTTCTTTCTACTGAACACACCCACCAATTGTATCACTGCACAGAAGGAAGCATGCATCTCCTGCTAGCTCACCTAGCACCACTGAACTAGTTAACGTTACATCTCAGCCGAGGAGGACCCCTTTAATGTTTAGATATCACGCTGTCATGAGCGCGGGCCTCTCGTCCATGAGTGGACACATGCCTCCTTCTGCATGGTAATGCGGTTGGCGGGTGCAGTTTGGTACAAAGAAAGTAATTCCTAAATGAAACTGCTGCAACAGTTGGTGTCATTATATCCACGAGACGGCCGACAACGCTACGGCCAATATCTCTAACACTCAGGAACTGAGGAACACTCAGGTGGGGTGAACTGTTCCTTTAAATCAATTGAAACTGTAACATCACGTGATGTTTGTTTATGTTATGTCAGTGTTGTATTCGTACATGGGATGGGAGAACAGATAAGCCGTTAGATGATAAAAAAGTAAAAGGGATAATGGAAAATATGAGGCAGGTGAATTTCAAGAGGCATCAATACGATACGCACACACATAATATGACATAACTAGTCTACTAATCTTCATGGACGGATGTAAACTGTGGGTGTCATTATCATTCAAACCAGCTAGTTTTCATCAGCATAGTGTTTGGCACCAGGCCTGCCTTGTTTACTGTCAGAGAATGATGTGTTACTAGAGTTCACTGGCAAGCGTTACCTGTGCAGCTAAAGCCTCATTGAGCTTATTTCTCTGTGTCACAGACCTCCATTGTTGCCCCAGACCTATTAAAAACACATCAGTGGGCCACAGTGTTGTACTGAGTGACATGTTTATCTGTTTCCGTGAAAATAGGCACCGTAGTTGATTTAGAGTCAAACCACATACCCCGTCCTGCTGTTGCACATACTCATTAGTGATCTGAATGTGTATGTATCTGTTGAATAGTTCCCAAAAAATGAACTTCTCTTTGAGTAATATTCGATAAAACTACAGTGCACAGCTGTTTTAGAAAATGACTTAGCTATTAAAAATAACTTTATATTTGTGACATGTTTTAAAAGATTTAAATCTTCAGAAGGAGCATATGGGTGCCACAGACAGACAGGGTAGAGAAGTTTCATTTTCAGATGCTGCCTTTGACTGAGACGGGTCTTTCTTACTCTGACTTGTGACTTTAAAGCCCCACTTTTGCACCACCTTTGCACAATTGCCAGTGTAAGACCATAGCAACCACTTCTTGTGTTAACTTACTCCTGAACTAAACACGCTCATTAGGTAGGCCTTTTTTACCGAGATGCTTGACATGTAGTAAAAGCACAGGTGTAAATAAATGCAATGCAATTAAGCTGCTTCAGTCTCAGGGTCCTGGTTGTTGATTGTTGGCTCATTGTCACACTGTCATGACTATAATGAAATCATTCCTAATGTTAGTAACGTGTGCTTTCCTTACAATTACAAGTCAAAATGTCTGCTGTTATAAGGCATATTACTCCCTAAGAAACTAATTTCAGGACAAGTCTGCAAACTATGTTTACAGTAGGGCTGGGCAATATGGAGTAAATCAAACATTAGGATATTTTTGACCCAATACCTCAATATTGATGTTGCACTGATACTGTAGGGTTGACTCAAAGTGCGTAAAGTGGGTAAATGCAAGTAATAAAACAGCTAATACAATCTGGTAACTTCAAAAAATGACATCACTTTACTGTAATGCAGCCTTTAAAACCAAGAAAAGACAACATTTATGATATTACGATATCCAACGCTGGAGACGAATTCTAGTCTCATAACACAGTACTGACGTAAGATTGATATGTCACCCAGCCCTAAATTACAGTAGCTTACGATTCTCAATATCTGATGTTTTCAGGCAATATTTCTGCTTCATTTGAGATGGAAAAATGACGTGATTAACTCTACAGGCATGTAGGTAAAGGAAGTTTACATTATCGTGAGTAAAGTCTGCTACAGCCAACTCAGGTGAAAAAAACAGAACTTTTGGCACAGTGTGGCGCATACAGTACCGTATACACCAGCACAGGGTCATCAGAAAAATGTGTATCAAATGAAACATAATGGAAGAGGAGTGCAAATTGTTATGCTATATCCAAGGCTGTAGACAGGACCAACTTAATCGAGTCCAAGTCAAGTCCAAGCGCAGTCCAGAGCAAATCGAGTCCTTTTCAAGACCAGAATACACAATAGTTTCTGTCCAATGCTAATATAGTGTTTAAGGAGTTAGGATGGACAATGAAATAAACTATGAGTGAACATAACTGATCTATCTCCTAACATCAAACTAATCAATGCATAGAATTTAGGTCTGAGGCCCATTACAGGCTCCTACTGGTAAGCTCACCAAAATACTTTAAATTCTTTGTTGTGTTGTGCCAGAGTTGCTTGCAAAATTGGTGCAATATCACAGAGGAAGAGGTGGAGGGAGGGGTATTTTCTTTTCACGTATCATGTTGGTAAAATCAGGCAACGTTCTGTACAACTGTTCCCGAATCAGCAGCCAGGAACGACCAGTTCTCAATAGCTGAGCCTGAGACCAAGACTAATTCCCAGTCCAACAAGGCATGAGAACAAAACAAATGCAAGACCTTCAAAAGTGGTCTCAAGACTGGAATCATGTATCACCAGCCCTGGCTACACCCCTCCT